CACACACACACACATACACCCGTGTATTCGCCGCTCCCATGAGGCGTGTATCGACCCTGTACATTCTCAAAGGCCGGGGTCGATGCCAACCCTCGCCCGTCCCACACTCGATCAGAGTGCCAGCCCCTACCGGAAGTTGATCATCCAACCTGGAGGTTATTTTTCCTTGTCTCGTTTTAGTCTCGCATGCAAATAGATGCCGCGGCATCCGAACCGCTGTCATGCAACTCTTACCTTTTTAAAATTATTTTTAAATTTTATTTTGGTAAGTGTTTTACGGCTCTCGAACTGCATAATAAGATCATATGAGCGCGCGGGACATATTATTTTATTAAGCATATTAAGGATAATTTTCGGTTGGTAGTAAATTTTGAGTTTTTCCCGGGTGGCGGCTGAAGCCTACTCTATCGATTTTAGACCACCAAGGGATCTTTAACGTGCACAACTTGCACAAGGGACCTCCCAGATTTTTCGCCCTTGTCCGAGAAGACTCGGTGCAGATCTTTCCTACCATAAGATCAGAGGTGTCTCTGAAAGACAGCAGTAAGAAGGAGTAGCAATAGGGAGGCTGCAGAAAGAGTCAGGAGCCCAGAGGAGGGGGCAAAAGAGGTGAGAGGTGGGGGCAGAAAGTGGAGACGAAAGCAGACGACACAACATTGCTAGACGGCAGGAAAGGGGGTGATACACTTTTAGAGAAGAAAATCTTTCGTCGCTACCCGGATTCAAACCCTGGACCACGAGAGCCCCCTACTTCTACTTTAAGTTGGCTTGTGTAAACCTGTGTCTGTGATGCAGAGGTTACGCGCTTCGCCCTCGAACACAGTAGACACGAGTTTTATTCACGTGAGGGGAGGATTGTTATAGAGAATCTCCATCTGCCTGGCGAAAGGTTGTGTCCCTATCAGCCCCGACAGACAGGGTCGAAAAAGCCCGCCTCCTAGATGATCTGAATAGTGTCGAGAGGGGTATAAAACTTCTGCAGTTACATTTTACATGTGGCGTGCGTTTCATGTCACGCTAGACACACACAGGTCATTCTGGAAGTGGCGTTACCCTTCAGTTGTTTGAGAGCAGATCGAGAAGCATCTCTTTTGTTTTAAGCAGCCTTATAAAGGCAAGAATAAATCAAAGGCGAAATGAGTGAATCATCAGAGGATAGGATGATGTGAGACCGATCTGAGGCACCCCTCAAACATCCGCCGGGGAGCACAAAAAAAGACGGAAAAGCTTATAAATATTTCTTAGCTATGAAGGGAAAGTACAGTGGCCTGATTTTGGAGGAAATATCTCGTAATACCCAAATCTATTCGTATTATATGTATTATAATCTAGATGAAAGGTGCGTGTTATGAGTGAACGCAAAGTAACGAGACAACCGAATAAATGCAGGAAGGAAAGCAAAAGCACTTTCCTCTCTCGACATGACCGAAAAAAAGGGAATCTCCAAAATGTGAGAGGCACAAGCGTCATAAATGACAGCCCAGTTTCATGAAAGAGTGAGATGATGTAAATGCAGAATATTCAACGAGAATAAATCAGTTCTGTTATGTGTCTGCTGAAAGTTGCATGTCCAACAAGACCCTAAATAAGTGTTTCTATTGTAAGAGGACCTGACTATTTTAACAGCCATGATTCTCAGGACAACAGGTTGAAAGGAAACCCTCCAAACGGAATGAGAAAAAAGTAGGATTCCTTTGAGCATGGAACTTCTAATATTGGAGTGCTCGTCAAGTTCGTCTTTATCTGCACCTTAGAGGCCGGTACAAAGAAAAACAAGATAAAGCTCACTATTCAATTCTATCACTTATCCCCCCCCCCCCAAAAAAAAAAAAACACAACCAAAAAACCCCAAAAAAAAGAGCAAAAGTCCCAAACTTTTTACCTTCCAACATGACATTATGCAAAACAAGCTGTAGCGCTGTTATAAGAAGATAGCTATATCAGGGATTCAAAGCCTCCGTGAAAGAACCTTATATCCGAAAACATGCTATACCCGGAATACATGCAGCCGAGATTTTGCAGTCAATTTCTAGCGCTAATAGTAAAGCAAACTCAGGGGAGATAATGCCCACCGAGCGTAGTGCAATTCGGTCGACAAATCTCGGCCACTTCCGGTTGCCGCCCACCCACAACGAGCGCACCGTGATGATAGAATCTCTCCGTGGCTCTGCTAATACGATAACTGCTATCTTTGGGTCGCAATTTGCGTGTAGTCACGATAACCAATGCATGAGGACAAATATGGGAGAAAAGTGGGAGAGTTCTATTCAGCAGCTTTCCTTTTATTTCTCTTGTTTCCGTTGTTGTCGTTTCGTTTGTACATTGTTGTTTACATTTTAAGGAAGGTTTGGTGTGTGTGTGTGAAAGAGGGGGGGGGGGGGGAGAGTGGAAAGATGATAAGATGATACTGCACAAATTCAGGAAATGCTTGTGTCGTCAAAGTTCAAAACTTGCTTGGGAAGCACTTCTTCCGCATTAATGTGGAATCGAAATTGTATAGATTTAGCACCCCTTGCAACACCCTAACATTCTGTAAGAAGCAGGACCTCTGAATGAAACGTCCATCTCCGATAGGACCGAGCCACTGTGACAATTCGAAAAAAAAGTTCCTTTCCAAAAGACACAAAGTCGGGTTGATCTGAGCCTCGAACTCACGGACAAACAATCTCACGATCACGAGTTCCATAGCCTAAGCACCACGCTATCAAAGTCACTCTTCTGCATAATTATCCTGTCCGAAATATTATTTTGATTCGGAAAAGACTACAACCAATTTTATTTGGCCTGTGGTTGGCTTCAGGGACTCAGCACCCACTCAAGCGCAAGTTATTGGATCATTGAGGTGATACGGCCCGACCACAGACATTTTTCAGCGTGAATCCGAATCGCTTCTATTTATTCGCTCCAACGGCAGAAAACCAAAACAAAACTTCTACTTTAGGAAACAATCTTTTAAACTAAATGAAATCTTTAAAAAATCGATTTTGCGGGAACCGTTGAATTCTTGCGGGGGAAGCTGACATTGAAGACACTACACATTTTATTCGCTGTTCTATGCATCTTTCGGCACAAGGTAACTGTCTGATGGTTTCCAAAGTAGGGGTTTTCCGCAAAACGCTCGTGTTGAATTAGGGATTTAGTCTGCGTTGAGCGACGTTAAACTAAGAATAATAAAGATTTACTTCGCGAGCAATTCCTAATTAATTATCAAAACTTTACACTCTGCCGAACCAGTGTCTGGAGTGAAGCTGTAAAGCGTTTCGCCGTCGCACGTAGAAGACCTGAGTTCGATTCCAATGTGAATAAAATTAATATTGAGTATCTCCACCTATCTGTTTAGACACTAGATCCCTCTAAGTCAGGATTGGCCCTTATACGTTCGGTCGAAGCCCGCCCCCTTAATGATCTAAATTATGTCGACTGGGTCGTAAATAGCATACATAAATTATAACAAAAATACTCCACTTGGTCGACAGAAGCGTCGATTTCATATCTCCCATTTTTAGGTGTCATGATCAAATTCCCAGAACCGTATGAGGTATAACATCGATTGATGTCAAGTTTGGTAAATGCCAGGGAGAGATCTTGTATCATGGTGTTCTGATGGTGCACGAGCGAACCGATGCCACTATATTATTACGGAAACCCGAAATGTCACAGTCTGTGTAGTGTTGGTGTTGAAATAAAAAAAAGTTGTTAAAATTGGTCAATAAGTTTTGGTGCTATGGATTGAGAGAGAAGGTTAAAACATGATTACAGTGAAAGAGAAACACTTCCTTCAATGTCCTCCTCCTCTTCCCCCTCCACTTCCTCCCCCTCCTCCTCTTTTTCTTCCTCCTCCTCCTACCCCCTAGATAACAAGACAAAG